AAAATACAGTCACATTTCAATTATTACACATTATATATATATATATACATTATTACTATTTATAAAGAAGTATAGCAAACAATTATCTCTTCCAGTTATGACTTTTGTACTCGTTTGCTGCTTGTCGTAGATTGCTAAGCCTTATGAAATTTCTCACATTGAGGATGTGAAAAGAAAATTGTTTTTAGGCTTTATATATACAATTTAAATAACCAAAAAATAATAAATTATTATATCGATACCATAAAATTTCATTATAATTTATCAAGCATAGTAACTAAACTGTATTTGGGTCTAAAAAATATGAACTTTTGAGCTCACTAAAGACTTACCTTATCATTTGAAATTTTGTATGAAAAGAACAAAATTAACACAGTAACATGTCAAAATAGCTGAGAAAACCACTTGGAAGACATTCTGAGCTTTTGATTAGTTTGAGTTCCTAATTCGTACAAAACTATAGATTTAGTATTTTGACATCACAAACATGTAATTTGAACCAGTGCTGCATTCAACATATTACGTGACACACAAAAATCAATGTTTAGCTGTGTCTTTTAATATTTATTTTTAAATTAAGAAATTAACTAACATATAATACTAAAATTTGAATTATAATCCACAATTTGAAACAATAATTTGAAATTAATAAAATAATAGATTAATAAATTATTAATAAATAATAAATTAATAAAATAGTAGTTCAATAAAATTTTGAATGCAACTCAACAAACATGATGATATGATTTTTGACACATTACCTGTTGCGATAGGGTTAACTCTATGACTTCCATGCCATATAATCCATATGATTTAACATCACTATCCTTATATTTCATTCTGAAAATATAACTAGAGGATGAAATTGATTGAACTTTGACAAGAACTTTCCTAAAGGTATGTAGTTTCAACCTCAACCAATCCACCTTTTCCGAGCATCCCATCTCTTCTACTTCAGCCCCACACATCACTGTTTTTATGAAGGAATGACATCCCTCCATCTTCACATATGGGATTTGTCTAGTCCATCACCTGCTGAATTGGACCATTTCATTGTGTAGCATTCCTTCTGTCTCACTCTTGTCACCCTTCCACTTTAACTGTATACCAACATAAATGAGGAGCTTGTCTTCATTGGTCTCTTCCAGATTACTTCCCCCCTGAGCAGCTTACCTTCTTTACTTGATTGTTCAACCAAAGCTTATGCATCTCCCTTATTGCTGGTTATTGGGCAACATTGTCTACCACCATTTGCTTTTCCTAATACTGCAGGATATTGTCTTCTCCTGTCCTTTCTACTGTCTTACATTTCTTCCTTATTCACAGACCTCCCATCACCCTGAATTTTTGCTTGACTGTGATCTCATTATGGTTCTACATGCACTTATCTGGAACCCTTTTGAACTTATGGACCCCTCAAAATTGATTTCCTTTTCCTCCTTGCCTGTGGTCACTGTTGTTTATACATCTATACCACTGATTCCTCTAATATTCTCTTCCATCATACTTACCTTCTCCTCTGTCCAAATCACTCATTCCGTCTTAAAACTTCTGCTGCTAGGGAGGGTGACCACACTTTTTCTCCCATCTCTCCCTCCTCTCTATCTCCCACCTTTATGATTGTTCCAACCCAGACAGACTACTGTGCCTTTCCAGGACTATTAAGTGTTATTTTTCCCATACTTCTACCTTTTAATGTTCCCATTACCACCTTTTCATGCCTTGGGACCTTTCCTCTTCTAGGGATCTATCTCTTTCCATTTCATAGGATGGATTTTCCAACTCCTTCATCTGGTATATGCACATCTGGAGGTGGACACTTTTAGGCTGTTTAGCATCCCTTCACATCAGATTCACCACCTTACACATTCTCTTGCAGCAACATTTCACTGACCTCTGTGAGAATGGGTGTTCCATAAGATCACTTGAGATATCTTTGTTGTGTATGTATATTTATATTCGATTGATTTTCCAGTCTTGACTGTACCTATTCCATAGACTATCATGGAAAAAGCCAGCACCAGAGAGGTGTTTCTGCCCGCTTTTGAAAATAGGGTTTTCGAGGTCATCCATTGCACTATCTTCAATAAAAGACCTTTCCAGACTGATGGTAATCCGGGTACATTCTCTGGGTCACCCCAACACAAATTCTATGTCCCCCACTCTTTATCAAGCAGAATATGGTAGACTCTTGCCACTTAGCAGTTCCTAGTTGCTGGGGTGATGGACCATGGAGGAATCCTCACCAACTGGGACCTAACCATCGGTACTAGAACAAGGTGCTAATATGATAAAAGGGGGGTAGGGGTGACACCAGTGCATTACTATCGAAATATAATTAATATGTATACATATATATCACATTTTTCCTCCTACAGCTATTGTCTGTTCGGTGGAGTCAAAGTGACCTCACTCAGTACCAGTCTTTAATGCATAACATGTGCCCTTCTCCTGCAGCTGGTGTAAGTCCTGTAGTGTCTCATGGTAGAGTTGAGGCATGCATGAATATCCATAATACATAAAAGTGTGCTTTCCTCCTACTGCATTTTGACAGTAGAGTTAAGCACCCATTATACCTGTGATGTATTTTTAACATACCCTTCTCTTGCAGCTGGCTGTAGGGATTGACAGTCAAGTCAAGATATATAAGTATTGATACTATA